CTTACGTTTCAAAAAATGAAGTGTAATTGTATCATAGCTCTGAGAGTCCCCCACATATCCTTTATCATGAAGACTCACCCTTCAGAAACTCTTGCCTATTAATTTCTTCTCTTGTTTCACAATCAATGGCATAGGATCTCATTCATATCGATACGTGAAACGAGATAAAATAATATTATTCCATCTAGTAACGTGAGAGCACTCCACAATGCTATTGGTGGTTTTTCAAAGGAAATTGGATGAAAATTAGTAAGGTAACTTTAACGCTGGCCTCTGCTTGCTTTTTAAATTTACCTCATGTCCTTGAACTCACTTCATTGCAGTACTACTTGAGAGCTTAGCTAAAATCATTTGCGAGTTCAAAGTGGAAACTATTCTAAAATTTAACTAAAGGGCTGCAATGGATAAAATTTTGTTTCTTATCAGGAGCTTAAAATAGCAAAATGCGTGACATTTAAAGTGTTGGACGGTGTATAGGCTGTGCGTGAATTTTCATAAACTCGGTTGTTTCAGGGCAACAACTCGAAGGTATCGCTAGTGTACGGACAAATGAACGAGCCCCCAGGTGCCCGTGCACGTGTATGCCTTACTGGCCTGACTGTCGCTGAATACTTCCGTGACAAAGAAGGACAAGATGTGCTTCTTTTCATTGACAACATTTTCCGTTTCACTCAAGCCGGGTCTGAAGTATCTGCCTTGCTGGGACGTATTCCATCTGCTGTAGGATACCAGCCTACTCTCGCTACTGACATGGGTAGTATGCAAGAGCGTATCACTACCACCACCAAAGGATCCATTACTTCTGTACAGGCCATCTATGTACCTGCTGATGATTTGACTGATCCTGCCCCTGCTACCACCTTCGCTCACTTGGATGCCACTACCGTGTTGTCGCGAGGTATCGCCGAGTTGGCCATTTATCCCGCTGTCGATCCCCTTGACTCCACCTCTCGTATCATGGACCCCAATATTGTTGGCCAAAAGCACTACGATATCGCTCGTGGAGTGCAAAAGATTTTACAGGATTACAAATCTCTCCAAGATATCATCGCTATTTTGGGTA